GAAGCCCATGCCCGATCTGAGCCAAGGACTGAGTCCGGGTCCAAGCCTATGGCCCAAGCTCAAGTCCGAGCCCAAGTTCTAAGACCAGGTCCGAGACCAAGGTCCTAGCTCAAGTCCGAGCCTAAGACCCGGGTCCAAGATCGTGTCCGACACGAGGCAAGCTCGGGTCCGTGTCCAAGCCCAAAACTTGACCCGAGGCCTAAGGACAAGGCTTGCCCGAGGCTCAGTTTCGAGCCCAAGGCCTTAGCCCGGGTCTGAGCCCAATGTTGGTGTCCGGGTCCAAGGTCAGGCCCGACTCAAGCCCAAGTCCAAGTTCGTGTCTGAGCCTAAGGCCTAGCCCGAGGCCCAAGGACCAAGGGTCGCCCGAGGCCTAATGACTAAGGCCCAATGCCCAAGGCTTGGTTCCAACCACTTGGGGCCCAACTTGTGAACCTAGCTCCGAGCCCAAGGTCTAAACTCGCGAGTTCAAGCCCAAAGTTTGAGGCCCGGTTCAGAGCCCAAGAGTTGGGCCCAAACCTAAGGCCCAAGTAAGGGCCAAAGAACAAGGTCCCAGCCTAAGTTCAAGTCTGAGTCCCAAACTTGCGTCCAAGCCCAAGAATTACTTCTGATGTTGGAATCGCTAGTTACTGGTCCAACTTATGAACTTATATAGAAAATATTCTGAATTGGATCCCTAAGAATTAAAGTCAAAATACCTTAGAAACTAATAGTTTTACAAAAATTTATAAAAATGAAAATATGATAAAAGAATTAATAGGATTGCAAATTTTAAACAAATGTAGTACAAGTTCTTACTCAAAATGTAGATGTATCAGAATGCCCTTGAAAGCTAGTTATGTCTTCAAGTTTTTTAATATGAAAATGAGTAACAAACTTCTGATTTCTTCCATTGACTAATCCCTTAAAAGCCAGGGTTACACATATGCTGCCCTTGATGGAGGAAGCAGAGCAGTTTGCTTGCATACAAGGAACAATTACATGAAAATTGGGTCTACGAACAAAATTAGCTTTCCTTCAAGACGCTCTTCAACTTGCATATTGCATCAGATATATGAGTAATAAAAAACATATAGCTCGTTTGTCAAGGAGAAAGACTTATAAAACAAAAGGTTGAGATTACAAAACACTAACCAGCATTGTGCACGGGAAAACAAAATGGTTAAGTCGAATGCAGGATAGTCGGCCAGTATTAGACAGGAGAAGACAATGTTAAACAGAATTTGCCAAACAAGTTTAAGCCATTCATCGTTGTCAAAATAAGTCATGACAGGGTAGAAGCCGAAAAAACACTGCATTTGCTACAACCATAATGAAAAAGCAAAAATGTGGTAAATTAATTAAGGTTTTTCATAGAACTCACACTCACTAAAACTCTAATTTAAACTTGTTTCTTGGCTTTTCTTGGCTATGAAGTAGAGGATCATTTTATCAGTCGGACAGATCACTCATCTTCTTCAATAACCTTGGTCCCTAGACCCTTCAACCCTTCTGGTGGAATCTCTGTAACTGTGACAAGAGAGTACAGCTCTTCCTTGGAATCTTCGTCATCATTTCTTCTTCGAGCAATCCGAACCCGAATCCTCCTAGGCACACTTCGGATCCCTCTGCTCCAAATATGTTTGTTCAACTTGACGTCTACCCTCACGTCATTTGTCCCCATAGCTTTTTGTGCAAACTTTTTTATCTCCTTGATGGCCTTAGGAGCCTTCTTCTTGAAGGTACTGCGTGTGGAATTACAAGACAATATCAGTAAGGTAAAATTCATTTCCTTATTCTTCACATCGCACAACCAAATACGATATAGTTGGATGGTCGATTCTCTGTAACTTATCAGATTTACAAACAAATGGGAACCATGTTTAAAATCATTTGTTAAACAGTCAATTCTATGTAATTTATCTAACTTCAAAATAGAAACCATGTTGCATATAGTAAAAGAACCTATACAAAGTAGACGTCGAAAATGGTCTAGCAAGTACAAAACTGTTTTAGAAAAATCACAGACATCCATAACACTGGTGCTATCACAACACACTAGCAAAACACGAAGGACGGTAATAGCCTCATTTTATCTATACAAGCAACTATTGGATCAATACCGGCCAAATTAACAAAAAATACTTACAAGAAGAAACAAGGTGCTTGCTTCCAGGATCCGTAATGAACAATCCAAAAAGTTGCTCATAATTGTTAAAAGTACGAGATAGAAAAGACACCCAAAAGAGAGAGAATGATGTGGTTCAAAGTTTAGTATGGATTAAGGCAACTAATCCCAAGACGAGGATATCCTGTAAGCATCTGGCACTTCCATATTCAACAACATATTCAACATGTAACATTCACATAGGTTGCACTAGCGGAAAACCAACACAACCTGTTGTAAAATGCACACCCAAAGAACAACTTGCATCCAAATAAAAATTCAAAAGGAAAAAACTCAGAAACCCCAAGATTTGGACCTACTAAATTTCTCAAAAATAGAAATAAACTGGAAGAACAAAGACAAGTGAGCATCAAGACCATATGTCAATGAGAAAACAGATCCAAATTCATTTGAAAGAACAGACAAGTTGCACGAATGGAACAGAAGTATAAGCCATAACAAAAGAGGCAGAAAATATGCGTTACCATCCATGCAGTCTCTTGTGGAGGTTTATTGTGTACTCCCTGGTAACCACTTCCTCCTTTCTTCCTTTTGCCTTCTCCACCATTTTCACAATCAGTCCACCTCTTCAATTCTACCTGCATGAAGTAATCCCCATATCAGTGACAATTAGACATGTAACAACCATACTTTTTCAACAAGTCACTACCAATACTCGATCAACGTGGTGTCAGAAACTAAAAATACAAACCAGTCTACTAAGAAATGAATAAAGAAAAAAAAAACAAAACAGGAGTATATACGGCCACTCTGTTATCAAAATTTTAATTTCGGCCTCCAGAAGAGTGTCCTGACTACTTGCTTTTAGCTTCCATGGATATCCAAGACAAGATGAATTTGCCCCAGGGCCAAAATATGACCATAAAAATCATGAATTGCCAAAAGGGGAGGGGAATTTCATGTAGTCAAAACAGAAAATAAATGGAATTCCTAATCTTCAAGGAGAATAAAGTCCCTTCCAACAAAATCTTCTTGCTGCAATATCAAGTCTAACCTAAAATACCACAAGTTTACTATTTCAAAAAAAAAAATACCACAAGTTTAGAAATACCAAAAGAAACTAGATTCGGAAGCAAAAGGCGTACGACCTAAGGGAATAAACAGGAAAGAAAGAAACCATAATCGAAGTTTAGCAACATAACCTAAAAATTAGATGAATCCCATTTCTGTAAGACTAACACGCACCAAACCCAGTTCCAGTATGAAAACGAGCAGTCAAAGAAAAAAATCATTTACACCAGTTTTCATGACTTAAAATCATACTACTTACTGATACTTCAAAGTGAAAAAATAACTGATTGCATGCACGGATAAAAAATCACCAATATGCACCGATGTTGAGACATCAATCATGATAATCCTTGTCAGTACACAGCAAAGGAAGTTTGATCACAAAAAAAAAAAATCACAGACCAATATTTCATACACCAGCCCACATAGATCTGAATAACATAAATCCAAGTACACGCAGAGACAAACGGAGGAAAGGAAGGAATAGAAGATATAAAAAAAAAAAAAGCCCCGTTAAATCCGCGTAAACAGAGAGATCTTCAACCTTAGGAAAAGAGTAAAGAAAAAGAAGAAAGAATAAAACACTACTAAACATCAGTAAAAAGAAGAAGAAAACAGACTTGTCGGAGATCAAAAAATCGTTCTCAAATTCATCCTGATGATAAAGAAACATATAAGACATAAATGCGAAGAAAACAAAAAAAAAAAAAAAAGATTGTAAGAAGTAAGAATATTTTATTGAAAATACTGAATCAAACAAACACGGAAGAAAATGAAAGCAAGGAAAAGATCCAGATGGCTTTACCCTTGCAGCTACCACCGTCGCAAGATAAGGAAGAAGATGAAAGTTCTTAGGGTTTTATGATGGTCGCTGACGGCGCTAAGTAGAAAATGGGTGCACTCATATGAAGGTTGGTCCAATGTGATAGGGTTTTGTTTTTTTTTTTTTAAGGAACAATTTAATTTTGGCACATATAAAAATTACTATTATATTTTAAAAAGTTTATATATATCTTTTTAAAAATTGATAATATAGTAATTAAAAATATTTTCCATTCTATTTAAAAATTTATATTTTCTTTATCCTCCTAAAAACAATATTTCTCATTCACTGGCTTGTTACTTGTAAGTCTCTAATTATTCATTTTTTATTTTTAAAAAAAATATATTTGATCTTTTTTAAGAATTTACACCATATTTTGATTACTAGGGAAGGTTAAAACACACTGCTTGAAGCCACGAACATGAATAGTATTACTTTGAGCCTCCCCGTGATTAATAATAATTATCAATCTAAACAAGGTAATAGGCATGTATTTGTGTGCATATACATACATATATGTATATAATTTAAAACCATCTATCCCCTAGTTCTCAGATTCTGTTCAGTAAAGAGCAAAAATAAAAGCTGACACATGGGAGAGATTGAGAATTTATGAACTTCTTAAAAATTGGATGTAGAGTGACCGGTGCTTAATTCCCCTTCATAATACTCTCATCGTGTCAAATTCTTTTTTCATCTCTAATCACTCGACAAAATGTAGGAACCTCCAGCTTAAGATTTTACGCCACTGCGTGAACTTCTCCAAAAACTCAGTCCTAAAATCGTCAATCCAGCAATGCCTGCTAAAATCTGATACCATAGATAACTATTTGTTACATAAAAAGTTTACGCAGTATCATCAATAATTTCATAACAATGAAATTACGAAAATAAATTATGTAAATTTAAACGTAATTATATACTAATCGACAATAAATGAAATAACGGTAGAGTTATTTTTAAAAAATTATTATATTTATTTTCTAAATTATTTTATAAATACAAAATTTTACATGCTTAATACTTTTATGAATATATACTTGCACAATATATATAAATTTTAGGAATGAAAACTAAAAAACCCCAAGATTCACCAATTACAGAATTTAACATAAGTGGCAGCCAAGGGATGGCGAAGAAAACTGCAATGGAGTTTCAAAGGGAAAAAAAGAAATAGACAACTTCAAAAATCAATGACAATTGCTAGAAGACACAGTGATAAGATTTTGGAATCGGTAGCAGAGAGGATAGATATAAAACTGACCTTTGCATTTCTAACATAATTGGTCGGAGAAGACTTGAAGAAAGATCTCAGCAACTTGAACCAAGACTTCCGGGGCATCAGAATCACTGCAGTGTACTGCTTTTTGCAAGGATAAGGCAGTATTCTTCTTAATGCTGATTGTGCTGCTGATGGGGTAAGAGACTCTCTAAGTCTTGCACGCCCTTCATCTTGCATCTAAGCGAGAAAAATCATCAAAATTTAACAATAATTGACATACAAGTGAAAATTGACAAAACTAGTTGCACCAAGTGCAGCTTTGAATGTGATTCCACATGATAGTAGTGTACTTGAAGAAAAGATAATAGACTCTTTGTGAGATCAATAGAGACTATACTGCATATATAGTAAGTTTTATAGGAAACTAGTTTGCTATCATTCATAAACCAAATTCTAAGCATTGAGTAAGCCCATCTTTGGACATGCATATCATTGTCTTTGCATATTGTTTTACCTTTGGACCACCACAAAAGCATTTGAATTCCAGATCATACACAATCCTAGAGTAAACTTTGAACACAAAAAAAGAGAGAGAAGGGGAGGGCGGGACTACAAACAAGAGTGATGGGAAGAAGTTACTACCATAAAAGAGGCACCCATGTCACCAGAGTAGACCCTTGACTGGTAGCTGCGCAAAATCCTCTCCAGCCAATAGTAGTTTTCCTAAATGAGTACCAGAAAATGATAACCAAATGTAAAGAAAGAAGACTCCATTTTTCTTAAAAGCATAAGGTTCAAGTTTAGACGTCTTTGAGGTGATAAATTAACAGCAAGAAGTGAAATCAATTCCTCTCATCATCTTTGTAATCAGGGGACAGAATGATATTAAATCCAAGAAAAAAAAATAGACTTAACCTGTAATCCATTTTCATGAGCTCTTTGCTCAATTTCAAGTATGGCTGAAATATCGTCGTTTGAAGGTCCTTCCTCTTGAAGCCGTAATATTTCATCTAAAGCAATATCGACCTGTTAAGAAATAACATGGAACAGAAAAAGTGAAAAACAAAAAAGAGCAGGTTGATCCATAACCTAGTAAAAGAAAACAAGGAAATATTATGTACAACTATAAAATACCAACCAGCTTGGAGGAGATTTCTGGGTCACAAGAAAAGTTTATGCTAATGTCACCACGTACATCACCAGTTCTAGAAGGTTTATTACCGCCAAGAAATACTGAAACGCCAGCAGAATAAATCTGGTGCATGAAGGAAGTTAATAGAACTAGGCCAAAGATCAAGAAGTTCTATAAATGCAAAATAAGCATTACACACCTGCCCGTGCTTAAAACGGAGAACCTGCATTATTTTTGTTTCGAGAAGTTTGCTTAGGAACCCAACACAGTGAATCTCTTCCACCTGAAATGAAAATTATTAAAATGAAACTTTTTGCAGTTTATTCAATAGTCCACAGATGCTCTCTTATATGATTTTTGGATCATATTAAGAAGAAACACCAACCATTGTTCCATTCTTCAACTGCACAGGAAAGCATAGCTGGACAGAGCATTGTGCTTCAACCATGGAGCTACGAACCACTTCTCTGTGAAAATAATTTATCCATTACAAGATAATTCTGATCCCACAAGAAGAACACATCCATAAATATACTAGCAATGTGATACACTTTGCTAGTCAATAATCAAATGGAAAAGAGGTAGAAAGCAGTATAATTAAGAGAGAAAGATATCTTTGGTTGGCGAAGGTAAAAGAGAAATTTAGCATGGAACATAGATTGCCAAAGCTACTAACAAAATCAGATTTCCGAAGCTAATCCTGCTGAAACAGTATGCTTGCTGAAGTGATAAATATCCTGTTAAGAATCTCAATGTTGTTCCCAACTATGATAATGTCAAACCACTACAATTAATACAAATAACCTACCTAATTATGGTTTTAGGAAATGTAAATGGTAAACCCTTGAGGTCATCACGGTTGAAATGAAGGACAGGTTCATGAGGTTTAGGTATTCCACCCTGCATGGAGAAAATCTAGTCAATCAAATAGTTAAGATCTTGAGCTTTGGGTAGCCTAAAAGGAGTTTGAATTTTACCAAATACTGCAAGATCAAAGGAAGTGCTATTTTGGGATCGATATTTCCAACAATCACAACAGTGAAAGTTGATGGATCCTTAAAACAGCTGCTGAAATATTCACAGGCTTTTAGAGGGTCAACATTTCGAAGGTCACGTATCCTAATTGGCTGCATAAAAGAAATTGCACTTCTGTTATAACATGGGCATTTCCATCATCAAAGCATTTTGTAACTATAAAAGAGGGGATAAGTTATACCCTAAAGAAATAGGAATTTCCATAATTAAGTTCCTTCACCCGGTTTGCAAATGCAGTGTAAGGATCCCTCTCTTGTGCATGAATTGCCTCTTCTGCCATTTGCATCACTATGTTGACTTCTTCTTCTCTCGGTATTACATTTGTCATAAATAGTTGATAAACAAGCTGGAGGAAAAACAAGCTTCAAGGTCAAGACATTTCTTAAATACAAGTGTCTTCAGAACACCCAAAAAAATTGAAGCAATTGACAGACATATCAGATTGGGAGAATCATATCATTATATTATCAAATCTCAATATAAGTCAATAAGACAAAGACATTCCGGATAATTATACCAAATCCATTATGGTAATTGAGGAGATTTGCTACTGGTATATGGATATTTTATTCATCCAGCAGTAATCATGTAGATAAAACAATAATATTCCTTTCATTCATATGATGCCGAGGCAAATTCTGATACTCAAAAAGGCAAATTCTGGTCAATGCTTATGAGTGGTAAAAGAGCACCGATAAGGCATAATCTGAGAGAAAGGTGTTTTCCCCCTACTTGGAGTAACAGCAACAATTGCAAAGAGAAAATATATATTCATAAAACTTAAATTCAGAAAAAGAGGATACCAAAACTGAATTAACTTTAGACCCACGGTAGGGAGAAAGGAATTTTCTTGGAGCCATGTCCAAGTTTGCAGATAAGAAGAACAAATAAACCACTTCCATGGCTACTGATATATGCTAGAAATAACACTGACAATGAGATGTTACACTATGCTGCTCTTCAACTTCGAAGGCATGGTTAAAGGGCAAGAATCAATGCAACAAATCTAATGAGACAAACCTGTAAAGCAGTTTCCAGGTCAGTGGGAGAACAATCACAAGAAAACGTTCGCATGTATGCCCCAAGTTTTGTACCAACTTCCACCCTCTTACCAGCAAGCATATCCATTAGAACTGATGGCCTATAGCCAAATACACCAATTTCTCCAGCAATGGTTGATCACATTGAGCAAGAAAAGTACTCGCTTTCCGGGAGTTCCGATAGACCCCCATATGAGAACCCTGTAAAAAAACCTGTTGAAACAAACAGTAGAAAACAACAAAATGATTCACATGAATTAATAAGCAAAGAAATTTTACCTGAAACTCTAAGAGAATGTTGAGGGTAGTGGTATAGCTAATTCACAAGAAGTATAATCCATATTGGAAAACTCAAGTGATCAATTTTTGACAAATATTTCAAAAACTCGAGTAATTTTATATACCTGATCATCAAGAAAGTCGGTACACTTATAAGACACTCGCATCCCATTTGATAATATCAATTCAGTAGCTCCAATGTTCGAATATTCAAACTGCTGCACAATATTCCTGATGCAAATTTTTCAAAAGAGGTTGAGTTATATGGTTGAATCCTATAGTTATCTAGTTCTGCCTACTTTATGTATTGTGGAACAGTTTTTTTTTTTTCATAACAGACGATAAATGTTCAAGTAAACTAACATGCTATTTTTCCTTAAAAATGTACCCACTTTTTCAGCTTGAATAGCATATCAGTAAGCATCCTTTAGATCAGAAAAGCAATTAACACCCAGCTCACAGCTAACTGCCAATGTATACAACTTAAGTACTTGACGAAAATCCTCTAGTGTCTGCCTTGGTCTCTAGGTCTGCTTCCTGGCTGGTTTGTCAACCACACCATTTCTCTCACCCAATGAAAATGTCCGTGATAGAAAGAGATTTCTTTCAGGTGCTTGAAGGGTAAGTGCAAGAGATTCTCCCAATCACTAAGAATGTAGCGAGAAGTGAATCCTCCACGTATTCTTCCACCAGGATGCTTACTGACCAGGAAGTGGGAAGACTTAGTGAGTCGGTCAACAATTACCCATATAGGATGTCCTGATCGTGCCTTGGGTAGTCCCGATACGAAGTCCATGGTAATATGTTCTCACTTCCACTCTGGAATCGGTAAAGGCTGAAGTAACCCACCTGAGCGTTGATGTTCTGCTTTGACCTGCTGACATACCAAGCACTTAGATACAAAGTCAGCTATATCTCTCTTCATCCCATTCCACCAGAACCGATGTCGCATAGTTTGGTACATTTTGGTACTTCCTGGATGCATGACAAACTTTGAACTATGGGACTCCGTCATGATGTCTCTTTTTAACTCACTGTCATCTGGGACACACACTCTGTCCTTGAAACGAATCAATCCGTCGGCAGAGATCTGGAATTCTGAACTCACTCCCTGTTCTGCATCCTTCTTGCGGGTTACTAGGGCGGGGTCGACTGACTGGGCTTCCTTTATTCTTTGGATTAATTCGGGTTGGACTGCTAGGTGGCCCAAACATGTGACCCTTTTCAGATCCCGCAGTCGAACCTGTTGCGTGGCCCCAATTGACCTGCATTCTGAACCATCAAATGGGTTAGGGTGCCTGCACTTTTCCTACTGAGGGCATCGGCTACCACGTTGCCCTTACCTGGATGGTATAAAGATATCACAATCATAGTCCTTGAGGAGTTCCATCCACGTTCTCTGACGCTGTTGAGATCCTTCTGAGTGAAGATGTGCTTCAAACTCTTATGATCGGTATAGATTTGAAAGGTCTCTCCATACAAATAATGGCGCCAGGTTTTCAAGGCGTGTATGATTGCGGCAAGCTCCAAGTAATGGGTAGGATAGTTCTTCTCATGATTCTTTAACTGTTTGGACCCATATGCTATAACCTTTCCATGCTGCATCAGGACACAACCCAGGCCCAGATAGGAGGCATCACTATAAACTGTATACCCTCCTGATCCACTCGGTAGAGCCAGCACAGGTGCAGTAGTCAGTCACTTCTTCAATTCTGAAAAACTCCTTTCGCAGTCCTCATTCCATTCAAACTTTGTATTCTTCTTTGTGAGTCGGGTTAGAGGAGCTGCTAGGCTAGAGAACCTTTCGACGAACCGGCGGTAATAACCTGCCATCCCCAGGAAGCTGCGAATTTTCTTAACTGATGTCAGTTTTTCCCAACCAAGTACCGCTGCAACCTTTTCAGGATTCACTGATACCTCTTCCTTCGATATGATGTGTCCTAGGAAGGCAGTCTGCTCAAGCCAGAATCCACACTTACTCAACTTCGCATATAGCCTCTTGTTTCTAAGGACCTGCAAAACTTGGGTCAGATGGTGAGCATGTTCTTCTCTGCTTTTTGAGTAGACTAAGATATCATCGATGAACACGATGACAAATTGATCCAAGAACTCTCTGAAGACCCTGTTCATCAGATCCATAAAGATTGTCGGGGCATTGGTGAGCCCAAACGGCATGACCAGGAACTCATAGTATCCATACCTAGTTCGAAATGCCGTCTTGGGGATGTCTTCTGTTCTTATCTTTACCTGATGGTAACCTGATCGTAGATCTATTTTAGAAAAGACCTGTGCACCCTGCAACTGATCGAAAAGGTCATCAATCCGGGGAAGAGGATATTTGTTCTTAATTGCTACCTTGTTTATCCCTCTGTAATCAATGCACAATCTCAACGTTCCATCTCCCTTCCTTGCAAAAGTAACTCCGGCACCCCAAGGGGAAACGCTGTGTCTAATGAAACCACTGTCTTGTAACTCAGTGATCTGTTTCCTTAGTTCTTCCATCTCAATGCAGCTCATTCGGTAAGGAGCAACCGAGATGGGCTAGGTACTTGGCTGTAAGTATATGGTGAACTCGACCTCTCTGTCCACTGGTAGACCGGGCAGTTCATCCGAAAATACGTGTGGAAAGTCTCGAACTACTGGAATCTCTTGGATACAAACTTCTTTCTTGGGTTTACCTAGTTAGAGAAAATACAAGATTAAGGCACTGGGAATTAAGAAAACTTGCCATCAGGAAAAATCAGTATTGAATGATTTTATTAACTTGTAAATGGCTCCTCGTTGGGAGGATTAAATACAACTTTTTTTGTTAAAGCAGTCTATGGTGGCGTGATACGCCGCTAGCCAATCCATTCCTAGGATTACATCAAAATCCCCCATGTCTAACCCTATCAGGTCTACCCTCAGTTTTCTATCTGCTATCTCCACGGCACATGCCCTGTAGATAACCTCTCCTAGCAATGTTTCCCCCCTAGCGGTAGATACAAGCAACAATGAATCAAGTCTATCAGGTGATACACAAATTTTGGAAGCAAGAACATGTGAAACAAAAGAATGTGATGCACCAGTGTCAAACAAAACATGAGCAATGTGGCCAGATATAGTATACATACCATGTACCACGTCCGGCTCTGCGTCGGCATCTTTCTGGGTAAGGTTGTAAACTCTGCCCTGGATTGGAGGCCTTCTTTGATTCTGGTTCCTCGGGCATTCCCTTGCATAGTGCTGGGCACTACCGCATATGCGACAGGTGTTGCTGAGGCGGTAGCAGGGTCGGTCCCCGTGATCCCTGCCGCAGTGCTGGCAGATCTTCCCACGTGCTGCCCCCGTAGCCTGAGGAGGGGCCTGGATGGCGGGTCTGGGCCTCTTACTGGGTTGGATAGGCGCGGTAGGTGCTGGCCTGCAGAGCGGGGCTGAGGGTCGGGAACTCCCCGCTAGCTGAGGGTGGGTGTCGAAGCTCCTTTCTATGATCTGCGCCTTTGCTAGGACTGCTGAATATGTCTCGAGCTCCATTACCAGTAAATGCTGTCTGATCTCCGGGCGGAGACCCCACTGGAATTTCCTGGCCTTTCAGCCCTTATCCATCAATGTCTCCGGGGCATATCGGCCCAGCTCCAGGAACTTACGGGCATACTCCGACATTGTCATGTTTCCCTGGACCAATTGAGCAAACTCCATTTCCTTTAGGTGTCGGATGTGTTTAGGGAGATACTCCGCGTGGAAGGCCGCTAAGAACTGCTCCCAAGTAGCTGGTGTAGGCAAGGTGGTCCGCTTGAGCTCCCACTAGCGTACTGTTTTCCCTACCAGCATGTAGGAGGCAATGGCAGCCCTCTGCTCAGGAACTACTCCCAAGGTCTCAAAAGCTCTCTCAGTCTCTGCCAGCCAGTATTGGGTCTCTTCAAAAGAGGATCCCCCCCGCAAAAGTAGAAGGGTTCAGTCTTCTGTACCTCTCTATGAAGCCGGGGTCGATCGAGGGACTGGGGCCGGCTGAGGGTGAACTGGGGGGCCCTGTGGTGGCACCTGCTGATGTGGTGGGGGTACTGGAATGTGCTGTGGCGGTGCCTGGTGGTACCGTGGCTGTGGTACCAGGTCGTACCGCGGCTGTGGTGCCGGGTGGTACTGTGGAGGAGCAGGCTCCTGCCGGGGTGGCTCGGGATCAGCCTGCTGTAGCGGGGGCTCAACCTGCGATAGCGGAGGAGGTCCGGGTAACTCCCTTCTCTCCTCTCGCCTTTGCTGGGCAGCTACGAGAGCTTCCACCATCTCAAATAGTCTGTCTAAATCCTCCCGAAGCGAATTATCTTGGGCCGCTCGGTTTAGTGGGGGCGGGCCTTCCTCTCCTCATTTCCGTGTACCTGCATTCACAAGGAATGGTTGAGTAACGATCTATCGGTGAATATTTCTCTAAGGCACTGTTGTGTAAGGGATGGGTCCGAGGAAACGCGGCTCTGATACCAACTGTAACGGCCCCGGAATTTTAAAATGAAATATGTGTATTAAAAATGTCAAATGCGGAAGCGAAATAAAATTTTGATTAACATCTCTTACAGTAAAGCAAAAAACGTGCTCAAAGTATAAAAGAACGAACTAACTAAAAGAAAAACTCGAAAATAAAAACTGTAAATATCACTACGGAGTCTTTAGGCGTTCTCTTCGCCGTCTTCCTGCGGAACAAGCTCGGGAACAATGTTTTCCTAATCTGAAATGGTTAAATAAGAAATGAGTTACACCAGTCCAGTAAAGACATCACATTATCTCACCGCCACGGAGGTAAAAGTGGGTAGAAAACACAAAAAGACCGATGGAGCATAATTTACAACAAATTCTTTTATCAATAATAAAATTCTTTACTGTCCACTTACCTCGGTGAAGTTCATAAAACAACATACGAAAGCAATAACATTATCATCATCATGAAATCATAT